CCCCAAAACCCCAAAACCCCAAAACCCCGTGAAAAAATATAGGATAAGAGTTTGCTAATCTTGTTCATAATTAAGAATAAAAATTTTTAGTTTTTTTATTATAATAGATCGAAATATGTATTTCAAAGAGAGAACAAGACTTCCACTTGCAGAAAACCCATAAGTTGCTCAAAGCCAGGCATAGTTTTACAAGTACGTACCATTATTAGTAGTTTTTATACTTGTAATAAGATTCTTGGAGATACCTAAGAACATTTAAGATGATATTTTCAACGGTCCAGAGCATCTAATTCCACAGTTGACAAAGTTCATGCTCTAGCATAAAATTGGTAATACTATTTCCATCTACTTCTCAATTATTTTTGAGCATGTTCTTATCGTTACCATAGGAGTTCTGACTTATTAAACCAATAAAGAACAGCTTTCATATACCACACAGCAAAGAATAGAAGAGATTGAAAGAAGGAGGTTACAGCTCTCATAGAGAAAAAATAGTCCATAGAGGCATCCACCAACTGTCCATGATTTTTAATTATCTCCTAAAAAAGTCAAGACATATTCAGAGATCAGTAATGCTAATCTATCAGTTTATGACCTTAATGGCAATGCGGAGGAGACGTTTGATGACATCAACCTATTCTTTGGAGAAGAAGCGAAGGAGAACTTCTGGGATTTATATAAGAGTGAAAGAAAATTTAAAGACTTTGATTCAGAGAATGACTAAATAGCTGATCCTAGATTTGCATATTTGAAAGCTTGTAATGACCTTAAAGTGTTTCCAAAAGCAAGAATGATTATTAGAGACTAGAAAACAAATCATCTAGATTACTCGAACTATATTCTCTTAAACAAGACAGCAGTAGCTGTAGCTGAGTCAATTAAGCGATATTCACTTCCTATTGAGTCAATAAATTTTGTGAATAATGGTCTAAGATCGAAGGAATGTATAGTTTTAATAGATTCACTCCAAAGACATTACGAAAAACTGACTATTCTAAAGTTGTCAAAAAATAAATTAGGATTAGAGGGGGCAAAGCATCTTGCTTCAGCTTTGAAATCAATGAAGGAGTTATCCTAACTTGACTTAGCTGAGAATGAAATAGGAGACCTGGGGATTAAGGAGATAGTTAACAGTTGTAAAGATTACGCATCAATTGAGTATTTAGATATCTCGGGCAACAATATTGGCAAAAGCTCTCATATTAATGAGACTGCAGATGCGATATAGGATTTCTTGACTAACAACAGAAGACTCGAGGTATTGAAAATGAACTGGAATAACATAAGAGGAACCATGGGAGAACGCATTATTGAAGGTTTGATTTACTGTTATGGCATTAAATAGCTTCATCTAAATAACAATTTATTGGGAGTTGGCTATGAAGATAAGCAGCCTCCTATTACTAAAATGGCAGAATTGCTGACTACTTCCAAATCACTGGAGTTTCTGGATCTTTCGTTTAACTTTATTGAGCAGAAGTCAATATTCTGTATATCGCATGGACTGAAGTTTACATCGAGTCTTAAAAATATTATTGTTGAGGGTAATCCTATAGGACCTGCTGGTTTGAGGTTTCTGATTTAGGCAATGAACATCAACAATTCAGGTTCTTTTAACATAAATATGAAAGAAATCAGTGCTGATAAAGATCTAAAGAGCTTTAGATAGGTCTTCGACCCATAGAGTCCAGAGTAATAATACACTCTCAATCTTGCAGAAACTTATGATCACATAATACTTTAAAATTTGTTAGTAATTGCTGATAAGGCAGCTGCAGGAAGTGATGGAAAATTTGATGTCAAGTCTTGTTTCTAAGGTGTGAAATATAACGGAAAGCCAAGTTGGAACCCACCAACTTCTAAAGATCAGTTTAATCAGTATGAAATCTCTGAGCACTCTGGTTAACTCTCGTTTACATTCACAATTAATCCTATTCAATTTAAGATTACTCAGCAAAAGCTCTAGCAATAGTAAGAAGCAGCTGCTTAATTGAACCCTGACAGACCTCCATAAGTAATTTCTTTCGTTCAACCTACTGAGGTATTAGAAGTGGACTTTATCTAAAAGTCTATAGTTTCCTATAAAGGTCTTAGTAGACTCATAGATATGATTGTTTAAAGCTTCTAAGATGAGGATGACTACAACTAGGAGGAACTAATAAAGAACCTTGCCAAAGAGCACTTAGTTTGGACCTCATAAGCAAATGAACTACTTTATGCATTCAAAAACTAAGAAGTGTTCTGTAGAGTGGTACCTTACTTACTCAATAGGATAGTTGATAGACACAGCAGATTCAACCTTGTTCATCATTTTGGCTATATGTAGAGATAAATATTTAGCCAGCTATACAAGAAAATGGGTTAAGCATTCTATTTCAGTTACTGGAACCCTAATGGCCACTATGAACTTAACCTCGCAAATCATATTGAAAGGGAGATAGCTGTAAGTTTAGTAGTGATAAATAAGGAAGTTTTTAAAAGAATAGCAGCTGGTGAAAAGGTTGATAAGTCTTAGATGGGCAATAAATCTTGCTTTAGAAATGAAAGACTCAACAGCTAACTCTTTATCATGAATAATGAATGGGTCTTACCTGAAACAGGAGTTTTTGAGTTTGATTTTGTTCATCTAGTAGACATCCCCAATCCATCAGAGATAACTCAACAAGACAAAATTGAGCAGCTTCTAGAGTGGTTTAAATACAAGTTTGAGGAGGAAAAGTCTGAGGTCTATGCTTTAACTAAAGCTTTTTGCAGTATTTCAGAATTCCTCACTCTTAGGAGTGAGTAGTTAGCATAGTTTGTAGACTTAATTGATGGTAATTTTTACAATATTCAAATATTTTAGATGCTTAATGGAAAACTGAGATCTATTGTAATGGTATAGGTAGAGTATATGACTACAGAAACTTTGACTTTATCAAGCATAGAGTTAAGTTTCCTGAAGCAATTAAGGATATTTACAAAAGATTCGGCATCCTTAATCTTTTCAACCCTTTCAGACCGAATGGTTCATACAGACTAGACCTGTCCGTGTTTGAAGAAAGAATAGTCTGTAAGATACTAGTGGAACTAGCCAAACAAGAGGGCCTGACATAAATGACTAATGTACACCTTGATGGAAAATCATCAGAAGCCTTTAATAAAGAATTCATCGATAAACTAGGCGACTCCGGTGTCTTTGAGGGAACCTATATCTGCCTACCTGCAAACATAAAAGAAGAATTAAGAGAAAAACTAGCTCAAAAATATTTAGACTGGCAACCTCTATAGCAATGAACATTATTTATGTTTCAAAATTACACTTATAAGAATTATTTAAGATCACATTATGGCTGTATGCTGGGGTTTTGGGGTTTTGGGGTTTTGGGG